CTCAGCGACGGCGGGAGGCGCGAAATACTCACGATTTCTCGTTTGTTTGCTTGTTTTTGGCCTGAGATCTGGCTGAAGTAAGGTTAGGTTGTCCACCGGTGGAGCTGTGATCGGAGAAATGACCGATCACTCCGATCACTGATCGGTGGTACCAAATCCACCGGTCGTACTTCCACCGGTCGTGACGTCAGCACCGACGGATCAATTAACGAACACAGTTTGGTGATCGGCGGTACCACCGATCAAAAAAAGAAAACCCCTTATATATCTTATCTTTATCAAGCTTGTTTTCAGGTTATCAGTATGACCGAAATCAGGACTCTCGTGAATTGTGCCTGATTCATCCACGATCCACGTGTCTTTAGTGTTTTTCTCTATTTTCTTTTCTACAGAATTATATTAACCAACCGGTCCACACTGCGGTCTCTACAGCTACTACAGCAGATTGAATTCGGGAAGCAGCATGCAGCCCAGCCATGCCCAGCTCCGTTCTACCAATTCCGTTCTAACCTCATGCATCATAACAATGTAACAACTGTCTCGGCCTTAACTCAGTAACAAACCTCAGTTTTGCCAGTCAAAAATCTCAGCCTCAGAGTTGCTCCTTAAAAATTCTGCTCCATTTTATTGACACGGTAAGTCCCCTATTTTGATCAACTGACGGCCCAGTCCTAACTTTTAACGTTGCGTTGTGTCATTACTATTGTAGCGTTTTAGTTCCAAAGCATAGCATCTTTAACCGACGTAGCCTCTAGAATGTACTGCCAAGATGTTCAACACCATTGGCTAGGTTTCCAAACAAATGTTCAATTAGCTGCAGAATCTGTCGTAATGATGGCTATAGAAGAAGGAAGCGTATTTCAGAATGCGACTTAGCAATTCTCTGGGCTGTAGTGCACTGATGCGATTTTGTTTAAAGCCGCTTCACTACGCTGCCACGGCAGTGCAGTAAAGCGGCTTCGTTATCATTGCGGTAACCTATGAACTCTGTAGAGCAGAAAACGCATCATTATTTCCCTCTGCTGTCAAGTTAAACGATGGCAGAAATTTTGGAAGCGAATGACGGTTTTTCGGTTTTGTTTTTAGATTTTGTCATCGTCTTCAAGATCACGATAACTGTACAATTATATTAGGTTAGGTTAATCAAATTCTACCCTACAATCTGCACAGACAGAAACAAAAGGGCACTCATCTTTAAAAAAAACAAAAACTAAGAGTACTCTTCGCACATATCAATTTAAATCAATTTTGAGTTAAAGTTTCTGCCATAGTTTATCATAACAGATAAAAAATAATGGTATTTTCCACTCTGCAGAGTGCGCATGTAACCGCCATCATAACGAAGCCGTGTAAGTGCACCATTTCCAGTATCGGGTCATGTACATTTGCGATCGATCACCCATGTGCAAGAAAACATTTTGGCTAGTTCTCCTGTATTAAAACAAAATTTATCCGTACATTAAGTCATAATGTAAATGGGAGAGCTGGCGTCATGTTCTGCTTGACGAGTTCTGAGCCCGGTGTGCGCCAAGCTTTGGTCACTTTTTCGATACATGTTCGATCTAAAATGGCGGTGTGGAGTACGCGGTAATTCCTATCCTTTTTGTTTACATTGGATGGCCAGGTACCCATGTATCGAAAAAAATTGATCATGTATTGAAAAAAATGACCCGGCGTCTCGCAGAAGTCACACAGAATTTGGGACCTGGAAAGTGCTTCAAAGTGGCGCCAACTCTCCCACTTCATTACAACTCTATGTACTCTATATATTTATCTCAGTCCTCAAGAAAATTATAACATGCACTGATTTCTGTTCTTTATGCTTGTGTAAGAGAGTAGTGAAATGTGCTACTTCTCAATTAAATTTATTACTTATCAGCTGATTATGTACTACGAATGAATTACTAGCTCATACAATACACAAACACATTTCTGTCTCTCGGATTACTATACTAACCATTGAATAAGAGAAAACGTATGGTGAAAGTATCTGCCGCGGCTAATCAGTTTGTTACTTGTTCATCAGTCTGGGAATCAGCTCTCAGTTTTTGAAAGTCACAACTGTAGTAGGTACAGATAATGGTTCTAGTAAGTATATATAACTTTTAAAACTTTCTTCAAGCAGGTCTTCAATATAGTTACAACTTTGAATGATGTTGCAAGCTCTTTTCCTTGATTTTCAGATTGCACCATGGGAGTTCCAGCATTCTTTCGCTGGCTTAGCAGGAAGTATCCATCTGTCATTGTGCATTGTGTGGAGCAAAAAGGGGAAGATGGGAAACCAGTTGATAGCTCTGAACCCAATCCAAACGATATTGAATTCGACAACCTGTATCTTGACATGAATGGAATCATCCATCCTTGCACTCATCCTGAAGATAAACCAGCACCAAAAAACGAAGATGAAATGATGGTTGCCATTTTCGAATGCATCGATCGCCTCTTTTCCATTGTTCGTCCCCGAAAACTATTATACATGGCCATTGACGGTGTTGCACCTCGAGCAAAAATGAACCAACAAAGATCTCGGAGATTCCGAGCATCCAAAGAAACTGCTGAAAAAATACAAGAAATTGCCAAGATCAGATCAGAATTAGCATTAAAGGGGGTATTTTTACCACCCGAGAAAGAAAAAGGTGAACATTTTGATAGCAACTGTATTACTCCTGGTACACCTTTCATGGCTCGCTTGTCAAATTGCCTTCATTATTATATTCATTCTCGCTTGAATTCAGACCCAGGTTGGAAAAAGATCAAAGTCATTTTGTCAGATGCAAATGTACCAGGGGAAGGAGAACATAAAATAATGGATTACATCCGCAGACAGAGAGCACAACCGGATCATGATCCTAATACTCAGCATTGTCTATGTGGAGCAGACGCCGATCTCATTATGCTTGGTTTAGCCACTCATGAACCTTACTTCACTATCATTAGGGAAGAGTTTCTCCCAAACAAGCCTAGACCATGTGAAATTTGTGGTCAAGTAGGTCATGAAATGAAAGAATGTCAAGGTCTTCCCAATGAGTCAGCTATTGAAGAAAACAAAATTCAGCTAGGATCAGAGACGCAATTTATTTTTGTCCGTCTTAACATCTTGAAGGAATATCTTCAGAAAGAGCTTGAAATGCCTGGTCTGCCGTTTCCCTATGATTTTGAGCGAGCTGTTGATGACTGGGTGTTCATGTGTTTCTTTGTAGGTAATGATTTCCTACCTCATCTCCCATCCTTAGAGATCAGAGAAGGAGCAATAGACAGATTAGTTAATTTATACAAGAAAGCTGTGTATAAAACTGGTGGCTTTGTAACAGATAGTGGTGCTGTCAATTTAGATAGGGTTCAACTTATCCTAACTGATCTTGGTTATGTTGAAGATGAGATTTTTAAAAATCGTCAACAAACAGAACTCCGATTTCGAGAGCGAAATAAGATGACAAAAAGAAGAAAGAAGATGCAAGAAATGAGGAGTTTAAGTTATGAAAAAGTCAATCACTTTGAAATGGTAGAAGTGTCAGATGAAGAAGAACCCCCGGATGAAGTTAAACTTTGGGAAGAAGGTTTCAAAGACAGATACTATGAATCGAAATTCGACGTTGACTCCAAGAATGATGCGTTCCGCAGGAATGTTGCAGCAGAATATGTGAAAGGACTTTGTTGGGTTTTAAAGTACTACTATCAAGGTTGCGCCTCATGGGGTTGGTATTTTCCTTACCACTATGCACCTTTTGCATCGGACTTTGTCGATATCAGATCAGTAGACATCAATTTTCCGAAAGATACAAAACCATTCAAACCTTTAGAGCAACTCATGGGTGTTTTTCCTGCCGCTAGTAGTTCACATGTGCCTTCCCCATGGGCAAAATTAATGAGTGATCCTGACTCACCAATAATTGACTTCTATCCCATTGATTTCAAAATAGATCTCAATGGCAAAAAGTTTGCATGGCAAGGAGTTGCTCTTCTACCTTTTGTTGATGAAGGTCGACTGCATAAAGCGCTTGAACCCTATTATGATTCCTTAACCGTTGAAGAGAAAATGAGAAATGTTAGAGGTGATGATCGTCTGTATGTAGGAGAGGCTAATGCAGCGCACAGTTATATCAAAGGATTGTATGAAAAAAGCTCAAATTTCAACACTGAATCAGATGTTTTAAATGAAGGGATGAGAGGCAAAGTCCTACTATGTGACATTAATGTAAAACAAGGAGCCTCCCTGATATCTCCTGTCGCTGGATTAGCTGTTGTCCGAAGAAATTCAGTTTTTTGTGCAAGATACCGAGACCCTAAGTACCCAGATAGCTTTATCTTCCCTGCCCGCAAGTTAACCGGTGCTGAAGATCCTCCAAAGGTGCTGAAGCCAGAGAATTTTGATCGATCAATGAATTGGAAACCACAGATAGGCATGGCACCAGCCAGACAACAAGCCTATCTGGGCAGCGGAGGTCACAGAATGATGAACTTCCACGGGCCAAGGCCATCTGGTCAATACAGTGCGGTCCCTCCCCCGGCAGCTGCACATGGAAGTGGTAATTACCAGCGCAAGCGACCCTATTCCAATTGGAATGATGGTAATTCAAGAAACTATGAACAAAGACCAAATTATGGAAGAGGTAATAACAGTTCAAGCTATAGAGGGCATCAAAACTACTACACGACTCCTCAAGGAGCTCAAAGCAGTAGCTCTTCCGATCATAGACCCAACTCAAATTATGGTAGGTCATTCTCTGGCAACAGTCATCAAAGAGGATTTGGTGGGCCATCAAACGATTACCGCGGAAATTATGGAAATAATACTAGTTTTAATCAAAATCAGCGGTCCACCTCCAGTCACTACCCTGGTTCAAGTGATCATCATACCCAAGGACGGAATCATAACCAATCTTCTGGGTTCCAATATCGTCCTTACGATCCCTCAAGTGGAGGGCCTCGACCACCAGGGCCCAATGCTGGCAAAAGACCCCGCCATTGGTAAGTTTCAAGCAAATTATTCTTGTCAAGTGAAAAATTTTATAAATTGTTGAATTGTATTTCATAAAATTTGTTTGAAAAACGCTACTAGAATCGATGAAACTTAAATACCTATGTATGTTCTTGCTTTTGTTATTGTCCCAAAGAAAAGTCTTTCTGGACACCTGAAGATTCTAAGCACCCTTTTTGGGGTATCTAGCTGTAAAAGTTTGAAAAAATCATTGTATTTATTTTTCCAGCTCACAAGCGCGAACCCTATACAAGGAGTTATGAAACACGAGAAAAGACTTAGAGTGCGGTGTGTAGTGTGTATAAAGAAATAGATGGAGATGAAAACTGAATTAATACTAATTTTAAATGCAAGTAATAAGTTGATACTATGCCTTTTAGATGTGTATCTCCATTGAGATTTTAAGTAGATCCTTTCAAAATGGGAGCATCTCTTCTTTTGATTATGTGGTAAACGGTCTCTTCATTTGTTTCACTGGAGTTGAGCACTTAGTATTTCTTATTCAATATTAAGCCGCCCACAACTCGTAGCTTTTCATCGAAAATAAAAAATGTGGAGGCACATGCTAAATATATTTCGTTAATGAATTTTGTTTCTTTTTTTTCAGGTAATCATCGATTTCCTGTTTTACAGGGGCACAAGCTAGTCGGATTCAAAGAGTCAACAGGCAGAATTCTTAACTGATTTCATTGTGACTGGTTTTTATTAATTTTCCGTTAAGTTGAAATGAATGTCTCATTCAGGGCATTCCTATCTGAGGAGGTCTCAGAAGGTGTCCTCATGTTGCTGGCAGGCCAGTATCTCTGAAAGAATCCAATGTATTTTTCTTTTTCTGATGGCACACAATCCACAAAACTTGGCTGCAGCATGGAACTAGGACAGCCAGTGAAATCTGTTTCTGATTCTGGTTTTCTTAATATCCTCTGAAATTAGTTGAGCATGAAAGTTGGACACTGTCTGAAGAGACTATTATCTTTAGTTTTTGATGAACCTTACATGTATTTCCATCCTGATGGAAAGTTTTATTAAGTACTCCAATATTTCATGTTCCTTTCTTAAGACATTCACCAGTGAATTTAAGCCAAAATTGCAACCTACTGTGCGTAAGTCATCAGTGCCTCTTCATGTCACATTGCTAATGTCTCTGATTCTAAATTCTGAGTTTCACAGGGTGATGCTGTCAAGAGGAGAGTAACAGCGGGCCGATTATTGAAATTTATAGACAAAGCTATAGACAAAGAAGACATAGGGGGTATGGAGCGATCCTACTGGTTGAAATGTGTGGTTCTCATAGACTAAGGGAGAAAATGATGGACTAACTGTCAGGTTTCTCGTGGGTTGCCGTTAGCTAGTCCATTACCTACCTCCTATGTCCATTGCCACCACCTGCTTCCACCAATAGGATCCCTCCAAATCCCTTCTGTCGTCTTTGTCTATAGCTTTGTCTATCAGTTTCAATAATCGGCCCGCTGATTAGTATTTGACTAGTCAAAACGATTTTTTGAGACAAACCTTTAACAATCCTCACAGCATGGAAGGCTGTCTGGAAATTAAAAATATGAACTTTAATCTGACAAGAGTGGGTCCACTCCGGCTGGCCAAAGATCAGCTAGATGATGGCTTTAGCTCATATCCAACGGCAAATTTCACTGAAGTAATGTAAAAGATTCTAGAGTCTCCAGCAAATCCTGTTTTTCTTTTTTGTTCGTTCGTTTGTTTGATAATCAGAGAAGTAGCAATGTGAGCCTCATTGAGGTCTTTTCAACAGGAATGCAAGGATTCAAAAAGAAGTTAATTATGAAGCCGAAGTTAAAATTAGTCAGCTGCACATTCTCCAAAGATGGACAGAGAAACTGACAATGTTCGCCAAAAAAGAGGGAAAATATAACTAGAAGTTAAGGAAGATCGTAACCCAAATTTTAGTCGTTGACCCACTTGAACTCAAGCTATTTATACAAACGAATGTTTCCAGTGACTGAGGGAGGGCAAAAATGCAGAAAGTATGGAATGGATTGCATGTTGATGGTGAAACTACCAGACCACGTATCTCAGTTTGCGATGTTGTAGACTTCCTGTTTGCTTTATTTTTTAGATGGAAAACTACTCAACGTCAATTCTTGAAAACTTCCGTGGTTTTTCTGATCAATGTGATGATGATCTGTGAAAACTTCAAGGGATGATCTTGGTTTGTACTCGTTCATAAAAATAAAATGACAGCGAAGATTTTTAAACACCGCAAACGAGATACGAGGTCTGTTAGTTTCACCATCAATATATTTGGTTAAACCAAGAAAATTTTATAAACTTTAGCCTTTCCTTTGAATGAGTCTGTTTTATTAGTATTATTTTTTTTAATTGAAACTTTCATACATTTTCTCTAAATTTAATGTCATTTATCTGGCTCTTAAGGGTTCAGCTTTCTTTTATTTTTGTTCCTTTTTATTATTCTCTCTCAAGACGCACCTGCAGAATATGTTCTCCTTTGAAATTTCACAATTTGAAAGGGGGACAATGCTCTGTTCCCTTGGGAAAACATTTTCTCAGAAAGAACGGCACAATAGGAACAGTGTTGATATTTAAAAATACACTAAATTAGTATCCTAATGAGCTGAAATATAAATAAGAGATTGTTCTTAGATGCTGTTCTAATCTTAGGGACTAGCTTTCTTCTAAAATCCTTCCTTTTGCAGAACTTAATTTGCTGTGTTAATCTGTAAATAGTGTAATTCAATCAACATAGTGGAGTTAATTTTATTCCTGTATTAAGGTCAAAACCACATTATCAATAAGTTTTGCCCCTGTAAAGTCTCGTTTAGTTTATACCATTCAATAAGAACATGGTAAAATAATCGAAATCACTTTTATAGTAAGATAATTTTGAAATAAAATATTGCTTTTAACAGCAGTCAAGCTTTTATCTCTTTGAGTTAAGCTCCTATGATAACAAGTTGTCATCTTTGGCTAGTCCATTTCAGAATGGGTTTGATAAATATTTAGAAATTTTAATTGGACTACCATACCCACCCCAAATCGGTGCAGTCCATAAAAAAAAATTCTGGGAAAAATCTTATCAGATTGGAGCATTTTCAAAGATTGTTCAACAGCCTCAAAGTTTGCAATTAAAATTACATAGGAATAAATGCGAGGTATAGAAGCTTTGCTTTGCATCGCATTAAATGGATGTACAATGTTTCCATGTGGTGAAGTCTTTAATTTGTTTTCACCTACAGAGGTTTTAGGGACATGATAGATCTCACTTTGCATCGGTGAAATGGGAGAGGAAGGCTCACCCCTGACTACACAGGATCTAATAAGCGTGTTTTAAGCCATACTGACCACTATGACTATGTCAGTCCATTTAATGGTGATTGAAATTTTTCTGTTTCAATGACTTCCAGAGATGTTACTTCAAAAAAAATTGGAATATTTTACCACATAGATACTTAAAGCCGTTAAAATGCAAGGCTTGTTTTCTCCGCATTTACTATGGCAATGTAGTTTTTACTAAGTAAAAAATTTGAGGCTGTTGAGCAAATCATAAAATAAATGCTTCGATATTGCTAAAATTTTGCATGGATCACATTGTTGCATTGAGGATGGATTGGGGAGGGTCTCCTGTCAAATTCCAATATCACCCCGAATGGACCACCCTGTCCCCGACACAAACTTATCCTTCCACCTGGGGTACTTCTTTAAAATAAAGCCCAGACGTGCTAGTGATGATTGAAATGTACAACCAGTACAAATTATTTACAGACAAAATGGATCCATGCATGAGTCGTAGGAAGGGTTTTTAAAGAAGGATAACAAAAGAGTACCCTGCATGGAAAACCAAAGGATCTGCGTTGGCTAAAATTCCCTACCTATTACTTGGATTAATTGTTTTGTGGGATATCCTGAGCCCAAACCTTTCAAATCAAACTTCTCATGGGTCAATTTTGAGAAAAGCAAGGCTAATGAGAGATAAAGTGCAGCATTACACTTAACTTAATTGCTCCTACGCCATATATGAAGTGTCTTCAGCTCTGAGACAGTTGACAACAAACATGCATGGCATCCGTATCATGTTCCCATCAGGCCGGTAGTGAAGAGATAGAAACTTTTCTTAATCACCAACATTTCTGCTTGCTGATGCATTTTAGAATGCTGAAAGATTGTTATTTCAGCTCGGCTCTCCTCAAAACTGGTTTATAGGAAGATAAATTTTTAAAGCTAATCATGTTCAGGAAGTTGTAAAGAACAACTTTTCAAATAATATTAAAATTTAGCCTGAACTGAATCCCTTAGTTTTCCATGCAGGATCCTTCAATTTAAAACTGTTATCTTTCCGATTGAAAAGGAACAGTCATGTCCATGAAAAAAAAATCAATATGTTTTTGCTAGGACTAAAAAGTTAAGTAAGACAGTGATTGAAAAATAAAACTCTATATTCTATCAACTTCCAGATACAAACATATGCACATTTTTGTCAGAAACTATCATTTTTGAGGCTCTTGTTGACCCAACAATTGATGCCAACTGAGGAGCATCGTACTTACTATACAATACAGTAACAGTCATATTGCCTTTGTCTCCACTTTCGAGATTTTGATAAGCATCTTGCATGAAATTGAGTAGTTCACTGTAAAAGTTTGCAAACGTTGGTGGTTGGTAGAATATAATGTGTCGTATTCCGCGAAGGCGTATTCGTCGGAAAAAGTGAAACCTTTCACTATATAATAAAAAGTGATTCTCTGAGTGATAAAACAAGTCTCTCGCTCTAGCTAGCTTTCTATCTTTTGTGTACTCAGATATTTGAACAAAATTAACATCTTCTCTCTTAAAATAGTTTCGGATCCTTACAAAATCAAAGTAAGATGGAACATAAATTAAAGTATTTTTCATCAAAGTGTCTTGATAATTCGGGAGAATTTTTTTGGTAAAAAACTCAAATCTGGCATCAATAATCTCAGTAGCATTTTTACCTACAATTTTGTGAAAAACCTGAGGGTACTCAACTATCACTTGACAAATTGACCCTGATGTTATTATATTCACTGACGTTAATCTTCCAGCATAATTAAAACAGTACTTGGATATCAAGCCTGCGATTTCTGATGAATGTAATGAAGAAAAAATGAGAGTTTGTCTATAATATTTTGCCCACCCATTTAATGCCCAAGTTCTTACCCTAGAAAAATCTGTGCCGTGTGACTCTACAGGCTGCAGATGGAGATGATTGAAAACATGAAGTAAGTGATCCCAATTTTGCATGAGAAAAATTTCGGTTTGGTCTAGAATCAATAGTTCAATGGATGCCAAAAAGTCATAGTCTCGCTCTTTATCACCTTCAGCTCCAATCAACATTCTGAGTCCTAGTGGGCTAGCAATGATTATATCAGAAGAGTAAAAATCAGTGTATAATTTCAAACTTTTTTTCGTAACTGCAAGACCAATTCTGAATGTATCGTCAATATTGCCGGAAAACATTTCTTCGTAGTCAGCAGGCTTCGGATTTTTTTTTGGAAGAATAAGGGTATCACCGGTAAATTCATCATAGAATCGTTTCTTATTGGCGATATTCGCTTTCTCATCTGACAGCAAAATCGAGGATATGACTTCCACGATGTTGAGCGCAGAGCGCCTGAATGGTACTAATATGAGGACCTTGGGGCGAACCAAACCTTGATCTCTAAAATTGTCTGAGGAACTTTTCTTATCTTTAATAGCTACATTATGTTGAATAATTTCAGAACGGGCTTTGATTATGTGATTTATGGCATGCAAACAATAGATAAAAACTATTTCCTTACTATTATGAGTGTTCCTTTCCGTAAAATAGAAATCATGATACTTATAAATGATAGATAGTATATCCTTTTGCAAGGGAGTGAGGGATCTCAGTAAGCTATTGACATGTTTGCTACAGGCTTCTACAATGTTTTTTGACGGTATCTTCACATCCAATTGCTCCCAATCCACTTCTTCGATCGGCTGTGGAATCACTGCAGGGACAGAACTTCTTTCATCGCCATCTTCGATGAGTTTGCTCTGCGAAGTCTCTGTAGAGTTAGATAACTCTGGTAGCTGCGCAATCAGACTCCCAATTGTTGGGAAGTTCAACTTTTTCCCTGTCAAAGATTGAGGACATGCAGAAACAACTCTGTACAGCTCATCTGTCAACAATGAAGAGAAGTGTTCTGAAAACGGAGTCATTGTCGGAGAACCTCACAACTTATCATTATCTTGAGGGACAGTCACTGCACTGTGTGACATTACTTGCAAGTGTAATTATAACTTTCCGCGGACGAGATAGTCTATTGCCTACTTCGGAATATGTAGTCAAATGATTATAAAATAGACAAGATTGAAAACACTGCGTTTGAAAAAAAAAAGAACACGTGAATTTGTTTGACAATTTAAGATTGAGGTTAGATTTGCAAATTCTATGCTTCACCAGGGACGAGTTCTATAGGACGCCGTTCTGTTGTGAGCGGGTGATTGCAGCGCATTCTCGCGTAGGATCCTAGTCAACTCAGAGGATCCTTCCCCCCGAACCTCGACTCATCCATCGCCCGCTCCAAAAGTGAGGTTACGCCGGAGATTGAAAAATAACACATAAGGCGGCTGAATTCTTAAAAAATAAGTATATTTTTGGCGTTTTTCGACCCCTTTCGACAAGGAAGGGCCCGCCGCATGTAGTAATACGATGAAAAATTCGATTTTTCGCAGTTATACGCGATCCTACGGATTTTAATGAAGTCCAACAACTGATAACAGCAGTGAGTTGCGAGGATCCTACGCGCGATAGCAGCACTAGTACCTGCTCACGAATTTTTACATTGACTCTTACGGGAGTCCAGGGTCCTATAGAACTGGTCCCTGGCTTCACTCTCATTGGCTGATAAGCCCGTGTACATTTCTACGTCACGATTACTATGAAGTTGAAGTTTGTTTGTAATTGTAATTAATTTTTTGCTTTGCTTTGCATTCACTAATTCTAGACTTTTGAAGTGAAGCATTATTTGCCTTTTCTTCATCAAGCACACATAAACGAGGAACTCAGAAGTTTATTTGAAGCCTGAGACTCTACATTATCTCCAACTGTAAGTAGAAATTTCTTTTTGAAATCCTCCATACCCGGCGTCGTATTCTCGGCAGATCCAAATTATCTAACCTCCAAAATCGGTGAATATGGAATGGAATATTTCTCTGGATTATTTACATAGAATAATAGCTATTATTCTATGATATCTACCTGCATGTAGCATGCTTGAAAAAGGCACGGGTGACGTTTGGGAGGTGTGGGATACCGTATACTAATGTATGCCAGGAAACTAATTCATATTCCGTAGTTCAGCGGTCATTTGCTCAGCCATGCTACTGTCGCAAGTGGATGGGTGTTCGAAGTCTCATCCATCCTAATTATTGCTAATTTTCGTCGCCATAGAATGCAACCAATGGTTAAGTCCACATATTATCTGGCTGTCTATTGACCAAGTGGCGGGTTCCAAGTTCGTATTTTCCCGCTACTGAAGGTGAAATATTTACGGCAAATAAGGCAAACACTAATCGCTCATAGGTTCGCCTCAAAAAAGATCAAATCATACACATGAAATACTCTGGCTGATTTTTATCAAAACTGATTGTCAGAGAATAGTGGCAGCCACAGTATAAAAATGGTGGGAATGTGAATAGGACTAAAAGATAAGTGTTAGGCTGCATTTGCGTAGGTAATGAATCTGTCCTTTATGGCTAAGGCTTAAGCAAACTCAAGCGCTGACAGACTTTTTACACTTGGCTCTCTGAGGAAGTGAACTTTGATGAATGTAGGAAGTAGCAGGGTACGCTTACAAGGAGGTCACTTAGTGCCCCACTCAGATTCTGATCGGAATATGACCTAAAATATATCTTATTTCTTCATTTTTGTGTATGCTCCAATGAAAAAATTTGTGTGAAGGGGGAGGTGTAAAGACCCTAAGTCGCCCGTTCAAGTACCGCTACAATGTGTGGGTAAAAATGCACATTACGGGCCCCACGAACTCCTACCGGAAAATTGATGGCAACTTCACAGGGAGGTAAAGTAAGGTAAGTAAAATCGAAATTAAGTGGCGGAAACCATGAAAAACGCTGTTTAATGATCACAATGTAGTGAAATAACACCAAAATTAAAGGGCTCACGAAACACGATTTCCGCCATTTT